CTATTCAGGCTTTATACCCAGCTTTTTACAATAGTATGACTTGAGGACAAGTCAAGAATTGAGGAGGGAGTATTGATACAGCTCAGATCATTAACGCCAGGCTGTCAGCTTAATAGGCTTTGTAATTAGATATTAATAAAGCATTGTATCAAGTCGGTTAGAAAGTTAGTTAGAGTTGTTGACTTTCAACTACTTTGACTGGTGTATATAAGCTCAATCTGTACATTTTGGAAGGACAGGAATAATACAGAACAATTCTCTCCTTTTCTGTTCTATACTCTGCTAGTTGTAGCCATACATGCTCTCGTTATCTCCTTCTTAATTCCTGCAGATAACCTGACTTGTATCACTATTCTATTTCTTACTCTATTATGAGATTTTTTTGTAAACTTTGTCTTCAAAATAGCTCTTTTTTGTCGTTTTCTTTTTCTTTCCGTAATTCATCTCTATTAAGGATGTTTTTACTTGGACTGTAATTTGCCCCAGACCAGACCAGACCATACCAGTCCAGACCAGACCAGACCAGACCAGACTAGGATAGTTATAAAAATACAAAGAAACCAGACCTTACCAGACCAGACCAGACCAGACCAGTTCAGACCAGACCAGACTAGATCAGACCAGACCAGACCAGCAAATTACAGTCCAAGTAAAAACATCCTAAGTAAACCACATAAGTCATTCAACTTGGTATTTAAAAACTATTAAGTTCTTCAACAATCTAAAACCCCTTTGTTACTAGTTACATAAAAGAAAAGTATTCATTTCCATGTGGATACGAACCTTACTACACTTTACTACGTATTAGTGTTGTATTGTATTTATTATTTGGATGCACATCACAACAAAATGCTCGTCAATTGTGTATCTTCTGCTAAAAAAAAAGTAAATGAATTTTTGATACGTTGGGTATTTAAGAATTCTTTCACAAGATTCGTATTGAACGTCTCTCGCTTCTCTCTAGGGCTTCGGCCGCTTGGAGTTTTTTTCCGTCTTCGATTTTAATCGAAAGACGGCCGCTTTTTCCGTCTTCGATTTTAATCGAAGGAAGACCGCTATTTCCGTCTTCAATTTTAATCGAAGGACGCCTGCTGTTGTTTGTGCTTCATACTCGAAGGGCGGATTTGCTGTCATGGCTCAAGGAGATCGGCGTTGTGGTCAAGGTTTGAGGATGATGTATTGTTGTCGTCGTTGGAGAAGATCGGCGCCGCCTATCCGTTTACTCTGGTTGCATGAAGCAGGGATGAGTTTGGTTATGCAGGGACGGAGGATTGATGCATGACCTTTGCCAGACAAAGGTCACGGAGTATCAATTAGCATGGTACCGGTGGTAAGACCTCCTCCTGAACCACCACCATGGGATGTACGAGGTGCTAGAGTCCGTGAACGCTTTTCTTGTAGTTTTTATCTGTTTGTTATTTGTTTTCTTGTGTCCACTTTTGTTGTTGGTTTTGACAGTTTGTTTGAGTTTTTTGCCTCTTTATGTCATTGGGCATGGTTGGATCTATGGGAATAGGTTTGGCTGTGTCAAGCCCACTACATGGTTAGCGATTCGTGTTGCTCTCTCAGGGGTGACCGTCTCAAAGTCTCACCATAGGGTTACAGTCGTAGTTGTTGAAGTTTCAGTTGGTGTCACTTTTATTTTCCTTTTGCTTGATGTAATGATCCTGAATTTTTTGATATGAATAGAGGCCCATTTGATGATAAAAAAAAAATTGTATATCTTCTGCTAAACTGGCACTGGTATATTAAGGGAGAGTTTGCGGTTGCTAAACATTAAAGAGACTAAGGTCACTAAAGAGTCCAGTACTGCCAGACGTTTGTGTATGACTGGTGATATATTGCTTATAAAAACCATAATGTCTACGTTTACTTACAAAATATAAATCATTCACATTTACTTTATTTTGTTGCTATAGTTTTATAAATTGAAATACCTTTTTTTTTAATGTAAAATGTGATTATACTATTAGGTTGTGGTAAGGGTAGAATGTAGAATAAGAAGATAGATGGTACTTAAGTCCTATTTTGGGAAGATAAATAACTTAGTCATATTTGTGTATTTATGGATTAGTTTAGTCCTATTTTGGTGCTATTTTGTCAAATACTCCGTATATATTAGTGGTAGAAAAAGGTAAGAATCAACTAAGGGAATGATCAAACATGTGCTTGTGAAATTGCAAATTCACAAGTATATTAAAAAACAGTTTATATTATGTACCAAAATGAAAATAAAGTAAAAAGTTAGTGCGGTGAGAAAAATATATTTTATAAGAAAACTAATCCGAAAAATATACGGAGTATAAAAATGAAAATGAAATAACAAACGGAAAGAAGAAAAAGAAGGGAAAATGGAATACATAAACATTGAAAAAATAGAAACGTGATAAAATAAGAATAAGAAGACCAAAAAGGGGAATAAAAGAGTAGTGAAGACGATAAAAATAAAAAAGGAAAAGTTTTAGGAAGAAAAAAGAAAAATGATATGTGGGACTGTTTGGTGAAGATTTGTGAAAGGTGAGATTTATGGTTGAATGGTTTGCAAAGAAAATGAAAAAACGTGGAATAGCAGGCCATCACCCGATCAGGGATCAACGAATGAAGATGAGATGCAAATGTTGGATTATTAATTTCCATTTTCCCAACACAATATTTTTTTTTATAGAAATGGCTAAACAAAAATACATGAAAATTAAATAGTTTAAAAGAAACAGTTAAATTTAATTTGAATAATTTGAACTCATATGATAAAACAACATGAATACCAATAAACATGGATAAGAGCATCTCCAATGCTATAATGTGCACGATGCACACGTGGCATGAGAGATGACCACATAAATATTAGTTAATTAATTTTTCTCTCTCTTAATTTAAATGATTTTATACAGTTTTGGTAAGTTTTTCTCCACAATGTCAAAGAGACCGTCAAATGTTGACATTGCTGTTGACATTGCAGGAAAAAATTTACCAAAATTGTATAAAATCATTCAAATAAGGAGAGAGATAATTTATTTGCTAATATTTATGTGGCTATCACTACTGCCACATGTGCACTGTGCACGTTATAGCATTGAAGTATTAGAGTGTGTCTCACAAAATAATTAGCACACTTATGTTAACTAAAAATAAAATAAATACCCACATAATCAATTCTGAGTGCATTTAGCTTGCATCAAACGTGATGTGATACTTAAGCTGAAAAGATTAATTAAAGACAAATACGGAGTATGAGTTATGAAACTTATGACTTTTTAATCTCCAAAGGGCTGATTTCTTCGGGTTGTAAGCGAAGTAAACCAAAGGTGCGGTTTGTTAAATGGAATAGACTCTAGAATCAGCTTAAATTAAATGTTGATGCTTCGTATATACCTGGTAAGTCTCCGTTGCAGGCCTGTCCTGACTCGAACACTGCCCACTACAAACAAAAGGCGGGATTGACACGGAATTTGGCACGAACTTATCAATTTTTCGTGCCAAATAGCTCGTGCCAAAATGTTTTTGGCACAGATTTGGCGTATCTCTGCCAATCCCGGTTTTTTTTTGTAGTGGCCCGTTCTATGAGATAGATAACTTCTGTCTTGCAAAAGAAAAAAAGAAAAAAAGAAGGGAAAACTGTCAAATAGGTCCTCGAACTTTCATAAAAAAGTCAATTAAGTCCTTCTATAGAAGATTTTGTTCGGCGGTCGCGATTTAGGGCGGTTCCCGGTGGAATTTTTTGATGAATTTTTTTGAGTATCTTATTCATCAAGTCTAGTTTACTCATACCAAATTTTAGCTAAAAATTCGATCGGGAACACATTCAAATTAATTCGAGAACGCAAAAATGCGCAGTTATCTTCATGAATTAATTTGAATGTGTTCCTGATTGAATTTTTAGCTGAAATTTGGTATGAGTAAACTAGACTTGATGAATACGATGCTAAAAAAATTTCATCAAAAAATTCCACCGGGAACCGCCCCAAATCGCGACGTCCGGACAGAATCTCCTATAGAAGGACTTAATTGACTTTTTTATGAAAGTTCGAGGACCTATTTGACAGTTTTCCCAAAAAAGAAACCAAGAATAGTTTATTTTTTGAAAGAAACCAAGAATAGTCTATGCATTCTCTTCTATTCTAGCCTGTTTCTCTGATTAATTTGCACGTATTTTATCTAATTTCTGCTGTAGTGACTTGTTTATTGCTTACTAGTGATTTAATATTTGATCTATGTCTACTAGATTTAATATTCAGGCCTCCTTGTGTTGATCCAGCATATTGAATAGAGCTTTGTATTTTTCATGGATTCGTACGACTCTGATGTGTCCATATTTTAAACATTTGATACATAAATGATGAAATCTGTAATGGAGATCATGAGTTAAGACAAATTCTTTTATGCCTCAGTTCTTAGTTTTATAAACCTAATTAACAAAATCACATCATATTTAGGTTTTCTGTCTATACCATTGTATAGAACAGATTGATTTCTATATTATATACTCTACTCAACTAAGTGATCAAGCTTGATCTGTCAATTTTAACACCAGCTAGATGGTTCTGAATTAAGTTGACATGTGAGTTTCCTAATTGAACATTTCCCTTTTGGAGACTTGCAGTTTGTTAAAATATAATGTTAAAACATGATATTTCCTACTCTATTATTTGAACCTTATTAAAGCTTGTTGTTTCAACCTAAAGCTTTGTGTAGCTTTTCAGTTGATGATGATTTTTCAGATACAACTTTTGTGTCTATAACTAATGTGAAAGGAGTTATATGAACATGTCTTGTCTATTTCAATTTTTTCCTATGCTTATTATAATTATTATCTGTATTTTTTTCAACTAATTCCATACCTTACATTGCTAATTACTACATTCTTTTTTACCAACATGAGAACCCCAACAATGCGGGTCGGGTTACGTTGCGAAATCCGATATCCTGACCCACGTTTCTACACTTTTTGTGTACATATCATATTTTGTCTTTATATATATATATATATATATCCCCTATTCTTCTAAAGCGTGGAAGACAGTTACTCGTCGTGCTTATTCCGTTGCTACAGGTCGAGCGTTGCTTTCCCTCAGTTAACGCCCGTCTGATTTCCCTTAGCTGCTGCTCACCAACTGAAAATATCTCCCGCTTGGTTTCGCGTGATGTAAATCCCTCTGGCGCCCCTGCTCTCTGGACCGCACAGATATTCTATCTGGTCTTACTCCTACGCTGTTATTTGATCTCGCCTCCTTCAGTTTGCCCGGTAAGTCTCTTTCCATTAAATCCATTAAAACAGTGCTCGACGGAAGCCTCGGTTTAGCGCAAAGTAAATTAACCGCGACTCTTGCTCCTGTTTACTCTCGTTCGCTGCTGCTCACTTCTTTTCCGTTGAATAGGCGCCTAGGACTCTGCCGTGCGGCAGATAATCCTTTTCCGACGGCAAAGGCTTAGGAGTTTGGATGGCGTATGAGCTGCTGCAATGGATATCCAGACTTAGGGTTGATTCTGATTTCTGCACCAGTTTCACTCTGTTCTCCATCTGTTCTACTACGCATTAATTTGAATACACCTTCCGGTATTTTCACCCCCTTCTTCCTATACCATATTTCTTCAGTTTTTTGGTGACATGATTTCTATTTCCTTTCGATTCTCATTAATCATATTTTTGGATATGTGTTTATGCGGCTGAAATGTCATTTGTCAATTGTATGTCACACAGAAAAGTTTCTGGTATTGTATTTTCAGATTATGATTGTTTTCCTATTTTGATATGTCTTATTGAGGATATTGGATTTGCAATAACTCATGTTTATTTTGTGTAGGCCTGGTAATCTTCTCTGGTTAAATCTCTCGATCCCCTTACTTCATTTGATTTTTTCTTCTAAATTTTATGTCAACAATCAATTTTGTTTTGATTTCTTGCAGATTCAGGTAAGCTTCCATTTGTTTTTTCCTCATTGAATTTACTTGTGAATTATCTTCTTGTATTGGATTTTTATTTCAATAGTCCAAATGAATTTCAAAGTTGTTGAATCTCATATTGATAGAGCATGTAGGTTCTGCTTAATTGCTTTTGGGGATTGATATTGGTTCCAACTATTTGTTGGAGAGGATCGTATCTTTATATTATCTATGTACATGTAAGATTAATTTTTTCTTTGTTTATTCAAATTTACTTTTTTTGTAGATCTCTTACTCATAATGGGTTGATAGGTTTCAAGATGGATGTTGGAAGGATGCAAATGCAGGCTTTACTTGGCTTTAATACTCTGAAGAAAATTGAGTTGATGAGGCAATTGTTGGTAGTATTTATTGTGCTTTTAACTGATTAATAGCCTATTTGAGAAGTTTTTGCTGCAGCTTTTTCTTTTTGTGGTAACTTATAGTCTCTCCAGATGTTTCAGGGCTGTTAACTCACTAATACTTGGTAGTTCTCTATTTTGGTGCATCTAAACATATTTACCTTGATTTCTAGCTCAATACCAATGAGACAAAGGTCTGTCACATTTTTATTAGCAGCTATGACCGGTTATTGCAGGGTTTTTGTGAGCTCGAGACTTAGTTAAATGTTCGGAGACCTCCAAACATGCATCTTCCCTTCTCTCGCATGCCTACCTCTCACATACTCGGATTTTATAGCGTCTTTCATTCACTCCACCAGCGGGTAAATGGTATTCACCAACTGCATTGGTTTTCATCAATACTTTCTCTTTTTAAGCAATTTTGAAATCTGATTTGTACATTACAACCCAGAAATAAGATTTCATTCAATATGATCATGAATCTTTCCACAGTGAGGGAGGGCATGGAAAGGTGGTTACAAATAAACAATATGACCATGCTACTACTCACCTTACACACATTATTTCTTACAAAGAAAACAGTTTTTCAGGTGTGAATGTCAATTGTCTTTATATCCCTTGCTGCTATGTTTCTGGTACGCAGGTCGTGAACGTACATTGTCGCTAGCAAGCCAGTGCTCCAAACTACTCAACCTTGAACTACTTACTTAATTGATGTTAGTAGATCAGTTTTGTTTTACTGTAACAAAGACTACTTAGAATTAATGAAATATCTTTTCAGGTAATTTTTAATTCCTTATAACTAATACTTGTACTACTTAAACATTTGCTACTTGACATACGTATATATAACCTAATCAACTAAGTTTAAGATTTACTTTAGCTATTGTTATAACAAGTACGTATAAAACCTAATCAAAGGGTTTTAAAGTTTGTTATTTTTATTCTGTTTGATTTTAGATTTTGGAAATGGAAAGGTGTTTAGTAGCTATGTTTTTCTAACTGTTTTTATTTTCTAAATCTTTTCTAAAAAGGTGATTTTGACTGAAATCATATTAAATTCTTTTATAGTAAAATAAATTTGATTACAGTTCCAAAATTAGAGGCTAAAGACATAGTATTAAAACTTAGATATGAAATGAATCCTGATTCCAGACATTTGAATCACAATTGATTTTAAGTAGGGGACTTCTTTCAAACCACGTAGTAAAATTAAGTGATAAGTACTTATAATCCAGGTACTATTAAGCAGATGAGTTCTTTTAAATCACTTAGTAAAATTTGAAAAGAAAGAAGTCACCTGGTACTATTAGAGGCATCAAACATACTTAACATCTATACACCTATCTCAATTTAGATACACCTAAGTACAAGACTGCTTTAAATCAGGCCAATTTCACTCAATGAGAAATTTTTCCTACTCTTAATGAAATGTTTTTTCTGAATTGGAGTTATGCTTGCTTACTGCTGTTATGCTCTTTGAACTTTGTAAGTTTACTAATGTTTTGTTTGTTGCATAGTAGAGACATAAGAAACTGTAGTGATTGGTCTTTTCAACATGATCTTTTTTGGTGCTCCTGGGGGTAGCAGAGGCTCTGCAGAATTTGAAACTCTGACTCTTGGGTCTTTGCCACCAACTCTGCAAGGTTTGCTGAATGATTAATCATTTTCTAAATTGATTTTTTTCTAACTGAAGTCTGTAAATAAAAATGAACAAGAAATCTTACTGTATTTATTAAAGTCCTCGGTACATATCGAATGATGATATCCTATTTCTATTACCACAGTACATTTTTATTTTTCAGTGGCATATGTTTATTACATAGGAAGTTTAGGCATTCAGTTTTCTCTTGTATTATAAGTTTACTTCAATCTCTAAATACTTATGGTTCCCTTCCTTTCCAGGTATGAAGGTTTATCTTAATGATGAAAAAGAGTTAATCTTGGAGCCATCATTCAAATGGGCAGGGAATCCTAATATTACTTTGCTTTTTAAGCATTTGGATTAAAAGCAACTGCCAGATTTTGCAATCGTCATGAATACGAGTGCTTGATTTTTTGCTAAGTCTTGATAAACAACTAACCGATTGCTGGATTTTTCAGCTTGTAGAGTTTTAGATCTTTACAGCACCACGCATTACCCTGAAACCTTTGGTCTCAAGCTTTCCATGTTTCTGCAAAAAAATTGAGTCACTTATGGATAAGGTAATCCTGAGTCCCGACTGACACTTTGTGCTACTTGTCATGCCAGTATGCTCCTAGAAAATAGAAGCTTATGTTCATATTGGTGGTAGCTATTCAGAGTTAAACAAATCAGAAGAAAAACACCACTACATATGTATCCCAATCTATTTACAGGTAGCCGGCCTACAGGGTAAGTAAATAGATCTTGCAATAACTTCTTCTTAAGAAGATATATTTGTTCCTTGCACACTGCATATTCCAAATAATCCTGGATCGATCAATCAACAATTTAGACTTTCATCTCATGATATTCCTTATGGCAGCATCCATTTTTGGGAAAAACTATTATGCTTATATGCCTATATGGTACCGTGTGTATTTTTAACATTGGGTGCTCAATTTGCTAGGCCCTCCCTGTCTCATTTATGCGCTTCTTATGTACTTGCCTGAAGCAACTGATGTTGCTAATGCTGTCTTGGATGGTAGGTCTTTCAACATCTTGAATAATCTTTGAAATACAGAGTATATTTTTCAAGTTTATGCATCTTAGAGCTCCTCCACTTTCCTCTCACCTTCCCCTGTATTTCACCCATTCAAACACAAACAAGTGCTTCACTTTCATCTACTCCCCTACCAAACCATTCAACCAAACAAAAGCTAAAACAAAAGCTTCTCAATGCTTTTGGCGCACATATGCTGAAGCTTCTGATAATGATCTACCTATAGCGACATTTTTCTTTGAGATGTAAGTATAATCTCGTTATATAAAACTTCAATTTGTATATTGATCAAAAATTTATATTTCTTCAAGAATTGTGTCATTTTATTTGTTCACAAACTTTGCATGACAGATCTGAAGCATGGGTAAGCAGCCTATTTTGATGCAGACGTCAATTGGTTATTTGTCTTTCATATTTTATTTGTTCACAAACTTTGCATGACAGATCTGAAGCATGTGTTCTTGTACATTGTATGAGAGGAATAAACACGTGTGAATGCTTGTTTCATTATACCTCTCTCAGTTGAGGGATATGGGCATGATGTTGGTTTCAGAGTCCATTTTAAATATTAATGAAAGTGAATTTGTTGATTAGTAAATGGTATTGTTAAATGCACCAAACTTTTACAAATAAATCATAGTTAAATGTTTGATTCAAGCTTTAAAAGTTATCTCGACTTTCAGGTCCCCTAATTACTTTAAGACAATTGAAACTGAAGGTTGGAAACTTGCACAAAGCTATCAACGGGTGAAAGAGCGTATGCGAGAGATTGAACTAACTTGAGGTGAAACTTATAATTTTTGTCTATTTCATGTTTCCCGTGTCCTTTAAAAAGCCTATACGTGTAATTGTGCTGCTTTCAATATTAGAAACATGGATGATTTTTGACAATTTTCTGAACAAAGTGTCTTAGGTTGCCTAAGTTACTCCACTCCTATAAGGCAAAGTTACATATTACTTTTGGGGGTTTGAAAAATGATCAAGGAAGGTTCCAATGCATACCCATTTCTAAAAAGAATGACATGTAAACATATCACATTGAAATAATGTACTAACCATACTGTATTATATAATGTCACCTCAAATTTAAGATTTGAAAACATTTGAAAACCTCTTGAACTCCATTGTTCAATTCTCATTTTTAAAATTAGCTTTCTCCTTTGAGTCCATGTAATGCACCTTTAGAATTTAGAAACCTTTTGAACTATATACTGCTAAGATCAGATTTCTTTTATGTATATCAACATTTTCATTGATGCTTTTTTGAATATAAACTCTTTCTTTCATGATTCCGTAGATGGATCTTATCCTTGTTTTCGATTTTTGTTCATCGATTGAAGAACTGTTTTGTTATTAATATTTGTTTATTCTTTGTTTTAAATTCTTTGAAGTGTATTATTTGTTTGAATTTTTTCCCTTTTTGTCTTGCTTCGTTTCTCTTATATGTTAATATTGTTGAATAAGTGAAATGAGTGCAAGTTTGCCACCCTTTGCCACCCACTTAAGTCTGTTGGTGTTTGAAGGTTTTTCGGCATTCCCCAGCTATATGGAATTTCAAGATTTTTTGTCCTCTGCCCTTGTCAATTCCCAGCCGAGTCTTTCATCCGTCCTTGTCCCAGTCGTCGCCTAAATACTCCAAGAAGAGGTATGTTCTTCCAACACCCGCCCTATTTCATCCTTCTTTTGCCAATTGTAGTGTGCAAGGATTGTTTTGCTTCACATGGACAAACTGTTGGGATTGTGTTTACAGTGGGCGTGTATAGGGTCACGGCATTTCAGTTTGTGTTATAGATCCTACAAAGGTGAATTAATGGATTCTAAAACAGTCCTTGCACCGGAAGAACTCTAGCTTTGTTTTTATATAGCTGAAGATATGAACATGCCTTCAAGAAACTTGAACACACCATATTTTCTTATTCAAATACAGCATATACATCTTTGGGAACTGAAACTGATCATGCCCAACCACAAAGTACATCTTTGCAGTGCAATGTATTTAAAGTTGTTTTCAGTAACTATTGGGCATTGACCTCACACGTTATGTTTTGCCCCCTATTGGGCATTACCCCGCACAACGTGCGGGCCAATGCTAGTATATATATATATATATACGTAGTATATACTAATTACAAAATGAACTAAGTGTTTCATTAAAATTTTCGCTCATGCTAAGGGTATTTAAGTAACTCCCCTACCTGTGGCGGAGCCAGGATTGACAGCTTACAGGAGCCGGGGCTTAAGAAATTTATATAGCAGGGGCCATCACTATATTTTTTACTACTTATAAATATTTATGCCAAAACTTATGACTATATTTTTTACTACTTATATTTTTCACTACTGAGAAAGAAAATGAATGTTCAATTTGTGGACAATCAAGATGGCTTGCTTCTACAGATAATACTGGTGAGATAGTAAACGCCCAAAATAAGAAGGTAGCAAAGATTTTGCGTTGGTTTCCTTTGAAACCAAGGCTTCAAAGATTGTTTATGTCTTCAAAGACGTCTAACCTTACAAATTGGCATCATAGTAAATGCATAAATGATGGAAAATTGAGACATTCGGCTGATGGTGCAGCATGGAAGGATTTTAACAAGAATTATCCCGAATTTTCAAATGATCCACACAACATTCGGTTAGCACTTTCAAGTGATAGATTTAACCCTTTCAAGACAATGAATCTTAAATATAGTATTTGGCTAGTTTTTTTAATTTCTTGTAACTTACCTTTGTGGCTGGTCATGAAACAACCCAATTTCATTCTTTCTTTAATTATTCCTTGAGCCAAAGGCCCTCGGAATAAGATTGATGTATATATGCAGCCATTGTTGAAAGAGTTAAAAGAGTTGTGGGAGGATGGAATTGAGACTTTTGATGTGACTACTAAAGATAAGTTTCGGCTGAAAGCAGCATTACTTTACACAATTTCTGACTTTCCTGGATATGCAAACCTTTCAGGATGGAGTACCAAGGGAGAATTTGCATGTCCTATATGTGGATTTGGTACTGCTTCAAAATAGCTTCAATTTGGAAGAAAGTTTTGTTATATGTGTCATAGGAGATGACTTCCATCTAACCATAGGTGGCGGTTTGAGACTCAAGCTTTTAATGGAGAGCAAGAGCTACAGGTCGCACCTGCACCTATTTCTGGGCATTCAGCTTTACAACATTTAGACGGGCTTGAGTTTGTGAGTTATAATGTCAATAATGGTCCATGAAAAAAGAAAAGCATTTTCTTTATGTTGCCTTACCGGAAACATTTATTGTTACATCATAAGTCATAACCTTGATGTCATGCACATAGAAAAAATGTGTGCGAGAACATTTTTGGAACTTTGTTGGGACAGGGTAAAAAGTCTAAATACAATTACAAATCAAGATTAGACTTACAAAAAATGGGTATAAAAAAAGAACTTCACCCGAAAAAAGCGTCAAGTGAGCAATATAACGTACTTGCCTCGAGCATGCTACCAAATGACTCGATCAGAAAAGGAGGCTTTCTTGAAAATTCTTATGTATATCAAACCACCTGATGATTTTTATTCCAACATCTCTTGTTGTGTGCAATTGAAGGATAAAAAACTTTTAGGGCTAAGAAGTTATGATTGTCACATGTTGATGCAAGAATATCTACCTATTGCCCTAAGGGGGACATTGCCAGACAATGTTTCATCAATTATCATTGAACTGTGTTATTTTTTTTAAGGCAATTTGTTGTAAGAACTTGTCTAAACATGACATCTAGTTTCTTGAAAAGAAGGTTACACTAACCTTATGCATAATGGAACTATTTCCTTCTTTCTTTACTGTTATGGTGCACTTAGTGGTTCATTTGGTTGAAGAATTGAGGATGGGAGGTCCAGTAACTTTTAGGTGGATGCATTCTGTTGAAAGGTAAGTGATTTTAAAACCAATTTCATATATCTTAAATATTAATTATATTTGTTCTTAGATAAATTGGCTTATCTTACTGTATCAATAATTTTTCAGGGAACTTCTCACACTAAAGTCATATGTTCATAATAGAGCTTATCCAGAAGGTTCAATCGCTGAAGGTTATTTAGCTATGGAAAGTTTAACATTTGTCTCTCGATATCTCTCCGGTGTTGAGACATTGTTTACTCGATCTGTGATAAATGACGATGAGGGTGAGCAAAATGAAATTGAAGAGTTAAACTCACTTTGTCCTGGGCGTCCATTAAGAAAAAGCAGAGATTGTAATGTCTCTTTTCGAAAGAGAAAGAGAGTATCTCGTTGTGTGCTTGACAAGAAGTTGCTGATACAAGCACATCGTTATGTCTTATTTAATGTCGAGTCAGTCATGCCATTTAGAGAGTAAGTGAACATTTTTATTTATATAACTCTTTTTCCTAGTGTTGAACTATTCCCTGACATGTTTATCAATAATACTGATTTATTTAAGGGAACATAAATCAATCGTTAAGAATAGAAATAGTTCACGGCGACGACCCGAATATGAGATTGAAAGACTTCATTGCCAAGAATTTAATGAATGATTCCAAAACGGGTAATTTTTAATATATTATGTTATTATGTGATACATTATTTTAATCATATATTCTATGTTATGACATTCTGCATTGATGTAGGTATCTCGTTTAGTAGAAGAAGGTGATGCAAGAGTGAGTGAGGAAGTTAAATGGCTTGCTCTTGGCCCCCACACCTCTGCAAAGACATATTCTGGTTATTTTGTTAAAGAGTATCGATTCCATACAATGGATCATGAGAAATTCTTGAAATCACAAAATAGTGGCATTGTTGTAACGCTAAAGAGTGAATGTTATGCTAGCTCCCGTGATAAACAACCAGTTCTTGGTATGATCAACTATAATGGCTCATTGAAAGACAAAATTGATTTGAACTATTCTGGTAAACTACGAGTGATTTTGTTCAGATGTGATTGGGTTGATGTGAATAGAGGTGTGAAGCGAGATGATATGGGTACAACGCTGGTTAACTTTTCGTATTTGGCACACATAGGAACAAATTTGCTTGATGACCTCTTTGTTCTAGCCTCACAAGTTAAGAAAGTCTTCTATGCTAGAGATTGCAAGTCTAAGGATTGGTTGGTTGTTAGGCATGTCAAAGTTAGGGATATGTTTCAAATGGGAAATAATGTTGATCATAGTATACATACGTCAAATGATGCAATATTTGATGTACCAAACCTGCACAGAGTTGGAGTTGATGATGATAATGGAGTTGATGTCACTCCAATGATGGAACAAGAAGTTATGCATGATGAAGATGATGAAGATGAAGAAGCTAGCATTGTTGGTACTTAAATTGATATAGTTCTTATTAATTAAGTTTATGTTGTTGATATAGTTCTTATTAATTAAGTTTATGTTGTTCTGTATTGGATGTGTACTGATAGTGCTTTAACAACTATCTAATTCATAATATCTTCTAGTTATTTGTTCATGGTTTGTGTGTATCTTCTCCTAATAAAATAATCATTTCACATATTGTGTGTTTGTTATACCCATATATTATTTGCAAGTTTGCAATTGAATAACCTGTTGGTCCAAAATAGGATGCTCGTAGCCTTTTAGGAAAGCTACGAAAGAACACTCAAGCAGGAAAGTAGAAAGCAATACGAATATGGAAAGTAGCTAGAGAGTTTGAGAGCAAGAAATAACATGTCTGTATTTGAAATCTGAATTGCCTTTTATCGGCGATTACGGAAGGTAACTGCTGACTAATAATGGCTAAATTAATTACAACATTAATACGGAATTAAATACATAATTAATAGCGCATTAATGGTCGGTCGTTACTCTTCCTGGATAGCTAGCGGGTCGGCCTGGCAGGCAGACCGGACGCTTGAGCATCTTGGGCGGCAGGCTTCCGCTGAACTGGAAGGCAGGCTCCCCGCTGGGCTGGAGGTGAGCTACCTACTGGGTCGGAGGCAGGCTACCCATTGGGTTGGAGGCATGCTCTTGGCTGGGCTAGAATACAGACTCCTTGCTAAGCCGGAAGGCAGGCTTCCGGTTGGGCCGGTAGGCAGGCTATCTTGGGCTTCCGCTCAGTTGGACTTCTGATCCTTGATGGGCTTGATATTTTGCCCCAGCTTAAGATCCGGATTGTTGGGTCCACTGGTTGGGCCTGCCTGGCTAGACAATTGTCCTGGCTTGGGCCTGCTGATCCAAGTTGGGGGCCTGAGCCGATTTGGCATTGGGCCTAGTCTCATAACCCCATCACGAGTCCCCCACTCCCTTAGTCGAGTAGTAGACTCGACTAAGGGGGAGTAGTCTAAGTCAGTTTTAAAGGCTTCAAATTAATTCCCTCAGATCCTAGTAGTCTGGCAATCAGCTTTCTCCCAAACTTCAAGATCCGGCTGGCGTCGCCCAGGGAGCTGGTGGCCATGCGGCTGGGCGGCCAGGCAGCTAGGGGCGGCCGAGCGGCCAGGCGCGGTCAGGTTGCCGGGAGGCCAAGTGCGCCCAGGCAGCCCGCTAGGCGGCCGGGGCGGCGAAGCGGCCGGTGCATCCAGGTGGTCAGGGCGGCCAGGAAGCTAAGGCAGCCAAGCGGTGCAATAGCTCCTGTACTGTAAGAAGTTTTATGACCGACAACAACCAACTGACGTCCTTCCTTATCTTTCGCGTTGTTCGGTGAGCCTCGGATTCGACAGGTTGTAGGTCGGTACCCCTGGTCAGCGGCGCAACTTCCCAGGTCGGTGGATGTACCTCTGGTCAGCCGAACAGGTTGCCTACAGACAGTATGATGTTGCTAATCGACTAACCATCCTTGAGAATGACAGCTAATTGTGATACGGCAGCCCCGTTGCAAAGTCGGCCATGTTGAGAAGAAGTCCCCTCGTGGGATGGCTGAAAACAGGTTGCTCCTAAAATTCCCAAATCATGAGTAATGAGATGAGTGTGAACTGTAGACTGCATCTCAGTGTCTTCCACTACCTGTTGCCCGCGTGGATCAATGGAACGGATGACCTCTATGGGCTGTGAGTTGGCCTTATGATGGCAGCGACTGAAGGCCGACAGAAACCTCGAGTTCGTCACATGGGCAGCCTGTACTGGTGATGGGTCGGCTTGCCGTACCCCCAAGATGAGTCGGAAGTGGTGATTCAACCGATCAACAGACTATCATTGACTTGATTCTCGTGATTTTCTGACGATGGTTTGTCATTGTTTTACAGGGTCCATCCAAGATGGTTGGAGCACATTGGGGCATTGATCTTCTCCTTGAAAATTTCAACATGAGGCCGATGGGACCAAGATTGCCACGTGGAATCCTTGAGAGTTTTATCTTGTTCGCCTTCAAGTATGATCAGTTGGGGTCTTCTCGACGAAGGCAAGTAGAGAGCCAATTGCAGAGGACGAAATTGGAGTTCATATTTGAGAGAGCTTCTTTTGGTTCCTGATGGTCCCCCGCCATGACATTGTACTTTTCTTTTTGTAGCGTGAAGTTGAGAGGTGTAATTTTGAGTGGATGTTTAATTTTAATCCATATGTTTCTTTTTTCTATACTTTTCATCACGAACACAAGCAATTTATTCGGGGATCCCGATTCTCTAACTTCCCAGGGGGGTGGTTAGGCTGGCGTGGCCGAGCCTATTCGCTCCCCTCCTGGTCGAATAGAAGTGATCGGTTCGCTGCTGATATGGAATCAACAAGTATGCAACTTGTTCAGCCAGCAAGGTCAGACATTGAACTTTTGAGGAGGACACTTAGGTCGGCACCCCAAACGTTCATGACTCGGGGGTCAGTCCTACTGTCACTTTAACCTGTCCAGTTTTCCTGGACTTGGGGAATAATTGGTTACTCCCGCGGGGTTAGACAAACAACAGGGGCGGACCCTGCACGATCCACCAGAACGGACCCGCACCGCCAACTCAGGGATGGCGAGAGTGCGAGCTGCTTGGCCAGCAACGTTGGGCGTCGAGCACTGGGAAGGACCCGGGGGTCAGCATCGCGAGAAATCTTGACCCGGAGGTCGGCCCTACTGTCGCCTCGACTGTCGCGACTAGCTCTTTACTTTAGAAAATAGCTTGGATTTTCAAAAATTGTTTGGCTATTTTCAGTTTGAGAGCCTGACCGAGGTCGGCCAAACACCGAGGGGGGCATAGTATATATATTTTTTTTGCTTTTCTCATATTTTTTTGATTTTTTTTTTTTTGATTTTTTTGCCATCGCCCTTCATTGCTAAGTGAGGTCGGACCTCTTTTGAAGACAAAATATCGCTAGCAAAGTATATTTAATTCATGATGTTGACGGACCACATGAAGAATTGCAAATTGTAATCCTGTGCCCGGAGCACAGGAGTTTACAAAGAAAAGTGAATCTTCGATTTTCTACTGGTAAAACTTCATCAGGTGCTCGGCGTTCCATCGGCTATGTAATGTAGGAGGTCGTCCACCCAGCACCAGTTGGGCCGGTTGGAGGGAGAGGACGTTGCGGAAGGTGTGGCTGTAATGCTTGAAGTTGTCAACTCCTCAATGCGTGCAATTCTCGAAATGTGTTCGGGCAGTCCCTGGGATAGCTTCGAGAGGAGATCGGCGTCCGAGTTTTGATTTCTTGGGACACAAACCAACTCTGCCTGCTTAAACAGCCCAAGAAATTCCCAAACAGCATCTCGGTAGTTCATCATTCTTTCTTCCTTTGCTTCGAACTCACCTTTAACCTGTGAGATGACCAACCGAGAGTCACATTTGACCGTTATCCATTCTTCTCCCATGGAAGCTGCTAGTCGTAGCCCAGACAATAGGGCCTCGTACTCCACCTCATTGTTAGAGACTTTGAAAAGATAACGGTAGGCATAGTAGGCCCGGAATCCCTCAGGTGAGATGAGGAGGATTCCGCCCCCACATCCCTTTGCTCCAGCCGACCCGTCAGGTTCTAGGGTCCACCATTGCTCATTGCTCTCCTAATGCTTCTCTGACACCTCTCGGGCCGTGCACTCCACGATGAAATTGGCCAAAGCTTGGCCCTTGATGGATGTCCGAGGCTGGAAGTCGACCTCATACTGATTGAAGAGAATTGACCACTTCACCACTCGTGTTGTGTCGGGAGCCCTCAGAGCTGCACCCAGAGGTTGGTCTAACCGGATTCTGATTGGATGCGCTAGGAAGTAGTGTGTCAACTTCTTTGCGGTGATGTAAGCGACGTAAAATTGTCTTTTCGAGCAGGGTGTACCGGAGCTTGGCATTCTGGAGGGTCTTGCTTACATAGTAGAAAGGATGTTGAACGCCTTCCTCCTCGCGAACTAGCATGGAGCTGATCGCGCCTTGAGAAACCCCAAGGTACAAGATCAGCCTCTCCCCCCTCTCCGACTTGCTGAGCAAAGGCTCGGAGAGGAGGAGGTTCTTCTTCAAGTCTTCAAAGGCTCGCTGATACTCATCAGTCCAGACGAAACCGTTCTGCTTTTTTAGGACCTAGAAGAAAGGTAAGGATTTCTCGGCGAATTTAGACATGAAGCGCCCGAGGGCTGCTAGCCGACCAGTGAGAATCTGGACTTCCTTAACCGATCTCGGGGGTTCCATGTCAAGCATTTCCCTCACCTTCTCGGGATTTGGCTCAATCCCCCTTCGTGTGACCATGTATCCTAGGAACTTGCCTCCCTAGACAGCAAAGGTACACTTCTTTGGGTTCAGGCGCAATCGGACTGCCTTCATGATCCCGAAGATCTCTGCCAAGTCATCTGTGTGCTCGGCCGCCCGGGTGCTCTTGACGATCATATCGTCGATGTAAGCTTCCATGTTCCTTCCGAGCACTTTCCGGAATACTCTGGCCGCCATCCTGGTGTACGTTGCCCCAGAATTCTTCAGCCCGAAGGCCATGACAAGATAGAAAAGAATCCCTCCCGGGGTAGCGAATGAGGTCTTTTGTGCATCGTCTTTAGGGGTGAGCAAATAATCGATACAACCGATCTAACCGAAAACCGATGACCGAACCGACCGAAAAATTCGGTTTTCGGTCGGTTATCGGTTGTTAAAAATTTAAACTTTCGGGTTTTCGGTTAATCGGTTATTATTCGGTTATTGTTATCGGTTATCGGTCGGTGACCGATAACCGACCAAAATATATAAAGCTTTACTAAAAACACTATTTGGGGTAGTTCCCGGTAGAATTTTTTAATGAAATTTTATGAGCATGTTCCTTATGAAATATAGATTATCTCCACTAAATTTCACCTTAAAATTCAATCGGGAAGTCAGTTAAATATTTTTTTTCAATTTACAGCGCCAAAATACATAAAAACGCAATATTTTTCAAAAATTTATTTAACTAACTTCCGGATGGAATTTCAAATTGAAATTTGGTGGAGATTATATACACTTCAGTAGGAATATGCTTATAAAATTTCATAAAAAAATTCCACCGGGAACCACCTTAAATAAAAAAAATGCTAAATATTTCTACATGTTCGGTTATGGTCGGTTTTTCGGTTACCGACCGAAACCGAACTTCGGTTTTTCGGTCGGTTAGAGTTATACTATCGGTCGGTTATCGGTCGGTCATTCCAATTAAAAT